TGGGCCTGGTTTTTTTTTTTTTTTTTTTTTTTATAACGATGGTTTAATAGGTGCTGCACATTCCAAGAATGTTATCTGCTACATGTTATTTATCCATCCCTCTTGTGAGGGGTACTTGCATTGCCTCCAACTCCCCACCAAAAACAGACAGTGAGTAGGCTGGGTGCTGTGGCTCATGCCTGTAATCCCAGCACTTTGAGAGGCTGAGGTGAGAGGATTGCCTGAGCACACGGGTGTGAGACCAGCCCGGGCACTTGGTGAGACCTCATCTCTACAAAATCAAAAAATTAGCTGGGCACAGTGGCGTGTGCCTATAGTTCCAGCTACTTGGAGGGCTGAGGCAGAAGGATCACCTGAGTCCAGCAGGTCGAGGCTGCGGTGACCATGAGTATGCCACTGCACTCCAGCCTGGAAGACAGAGTGAGACTCTGACTCAAAAACAAAACAAAACAAAAAACACACTGTGGGATTATATAAATTATATTTGTAAAGTTTTTAGCATAGGGCAAGAACAAGATAATTGCTTAGTAAATGATAACTATTTTTATTTACATGAAATAATAATAAGGGGACCTCCCCAAAATTTCCTAGTCCCTGATCAAAACTGTCCTGTCACTCTGACATCATTGCTGAAACTAGGAAATGCCCACATGGCCACTATAACACCAGAGGAAACAGAGAGAAAGGAGTTTTCAAATTCTTACTGTTTTGCAATGCTCCAGCCTTCCTAAACTTCTGCCTCTCTTCTTTTTTACTCTTTGGAACTTGCTGTCATTTTCTCCATGGTAGCATCAAGTTTAAGGTAATTAGTTGCAGTTAATCGTGGCCAACTTAGTAGCTGGAGACAGCTGCGTGTGTGTAGCAGAACTTTGGTTCACTTCAGTAAGCGGTTCCAGTTCTACATCAGGTTGGCAGTCATATCTTAAGCAAAGATGTTGGAAACAAGGCCTGTCCCTGAGGTGCTGTTACTTTATTAGGGGAGACAATACCACTGTGTGGGAAATAAGAAACTGTTCAAGGAAGGCTGGCAGACACCCTTATGGGTGGGTAGGTGGGAAGAGGAGGTGGAATTTTAGGGAGGGAAGAACACGAACACAAACCTAGAGGTAGCAGTAAACATCATGTGTGAGGACAAAGGCTAAATCCAAATGAATGCAAGAGAAGATGTGCAGAATTATATTTTGCTATTTTTCTTGTCTCCTAACTCCCCAACTCCTTAAACTATTCTCTTGCCCTTTCTCCCCCACTCAGGCAGTAGAGCTATTACCATAGAAGTGCAGAGAGAGGCCAGGCACAGTGGCTCTCGCCTGTAATCCCAGCATTTTGGAAGGTGGAGGTGAGAGGATTGCTTGTGCTCAGGGGTTCGAGATCAGCCTGGGCAACTTGACGAGACCTCGTCTCTACAAGAAATCAAAAAATTAGCCAGGTGTGGTGGTACATGCCTGTGGTTCTAGCTACTTGGAAGACTGAGGTGGAAGGATTACCTGAGCCCAGCAGGTCAAGGCTGCAGTGGCCGTGATCATGTCACTGCACTACAGCTTTGGGAACAGTGAGAATCTGATTTAAACAACAAAATCTTAACATTCAGCATTGAAGTTTCAAAGTAGGCTATGTAAATTGAGGCAGAAATCATAGTTCTAAAGGCCCAACCTTTGACTTGCAAGACAGGGAATTTTCTTTTTTTTTGAGTTAGAGTCTCACTCTGTCACCAGGCTGGAGTGCAGTGGCATGCTCATGGCCACTGCAGCCTCCACCTACTGGGCTCAGGCGATACTTCCACCTCAACCCTCCAAGTAGCTGGAACCACAGGCATGTACCACCATGCCTGGCTAATTTTTTGATTTCTTGTACAGATGAGGTCTCACCAAGTTGCCCAGGCTGATCTCGAATCCCTGAGTTTAGGCAATCCTCTCGCCTCCATCTCCCAAAGTGCTGGGATTACAGGCATAAACTACCACGCCCGGCCAAGGCATGGAATTTTCAAATGTCAGTCTTAAGAATGAAGGACTCATGGGGTATCTGTTGTAATAGATAATAGACTACTGTGTAGCATAAGCCCTGGATGAGGACAGTGCAAAAGGAAAGACTTGAATTAACTGACCTTAAATCAAGAATGCCCTGATGTGACTCAATTTATTCAAATGATGAAGTTACTATCTTCCATGTGGTAGAATATGGTATTGTGATAAAATTATTAAAAATAAGTATATTAAAATACTTTATATTATACATTTATATAAAATATAATTTAAAATTTACACACTTGAGTTTGTGGCCTGAGAAATTAGTACATGCTGCAAAAATGTCTTTGGCATATGATGGATATCATCTTTAAAACATCAAAACAATCCACAGACCAAAATTTTGAAAATTGTGTGCTCCCTTCATTCACTCAGGAATTTTTCTTGCAACTGTCTTTCACACCATTAGGCCAGTGCCTATGGGAAACACCTAGATATTTTTGTATTTTTTTTTTTTCTCTGAATAGTAGTTATCAGCCATGGCTTTGAATGCTTATTTTTAAAAATTATGCTCCCTCACTAAACTAAAATTTGATTTGCTTGTGCTTCCTCTCTCTCTTTATGGAGATTTAGTAAACTGATACAATGGGGAATGGATGCCTAAGGATAAAGATGGAAATTAGCTAGTGTGGGGGCATAAACTGCAAGAAAGTGGACAGGACTGATGTCAGAGTACATGGGGTATAAGTTGTTTCATGTGCTCTTGACTTCATCATAAAAAATAAAAAATTCAAGAGTAAGACACAGCAAGAATCTAAGTACACTTAATTACAGAGTGGAAAACACATTCAAGGGAGAATGTTTATGTCTTAGAAAGACACATGCTTGCCTTGCTGATAACAAGAAGCTTTATATAAATTCACAATAAAGATAAAGCAAACTATTCCATAAGCTAGGAGTAGAGGGCTGCAGGTATCTGATCACGAGTTTTGACTGCTCTTAACCTAAGTTTACATGTGTTACAACATCACAAGGACCCTCTAAATAACAGAAAGTAACTGCCTAACTAGATCTGGGTTTTTCTTAGAATATGTCTCTGCATTTGGGGTAATTGCTAATTGTTTCTGTAATTTACTACAGATAGTTCCACATTCCAACCTGCAAGGTGGTCAGGTCTGATATGCCTGGCCAGTAGGGTGAAAGTCGAGTACTGATAAGAATGGTGCCTGAATGCTTAACCACCCTGGTCCTTAGTTATCTGAATTAGACCTATCTAAAAAAACTTACCTAATTACCTCTAAGGCAGGAGTTATGCTAAATATGCCTGCCTCAGAACTAGAGAACTTTCTAGAAAGAACTTGGTTGGAAGGAATATACTATGGCCAATTTTGGGAGAGGGACAACAGTTTGCACTAAAGTCTCTCCTCTCACTCCCAATGCAGTCTACCATGTCATTTAACAAGTCTAACAAGACTTAGTAAAGCTGTTCAAAAAAAAAAAAAAAAAAAGAGAGGCCGAGGTGAGAGGATTGCCTGAGGTCACGGGTTCAAGACCAGCCTGGGTAACTTGGCAAGACCTCATCTCTACAATAAATTTAAAAAATTAGCCAGGGACGGTGGTGCATGCCTGTAACTCCAGCTACTTGGAAGATCGAGGCAGAAGGATCGCCTGAGCCCAGGAGGGCAACAGAGTGAGACACCGACTTAAAAATTAGAAATAAAAAAAGGAACTTCTTCCTCTTTCCTCTTCCCATCTTTTGCTTTGTCTTATAAACCTCCTATATAATTTGATAGATTTTAGTCATTCTGGAGTAATAAGTAAATAAATAAGCATGAAAAATTTTCCCCAAAATCTTCCCCCCTGAAGTCACAGGCCCCCATCAACATACACTTCAGAGCCCTCTCTACCTCCCAAGTTCCCTCTGTTCACTGGAGAGTGATTAAGTAAGGCACAGAAAAGGGAAGTAATGATGTAGAGCAGGCAAGGGACAGAAGGAATACAGGGAGATGGGGCCCATTATAATCAAAGAATTTGGAGTCTGGTTTTTCTCATTCTGCATACCTCCTAGGGAAATAATAGGACCCCAAGAGGTGTTAGCATATCAGAGTGAAAGGAAAATCAAAGTTTAGGTCAAAATCTCTAAATTCTTGCCTTAGCTCTGCCCATAGCTATGTAAATGTGAGAAACTCACTAAAGTTTTCTAGATCCCAGAATCTCTTTCTGGAAAATGTGTGGGTTGTAGAATATTACTTTTAAGGACCCTTTCAGCACTCAAATTCCACTTCTAGTTTTGAAGCATACACAAATCACAGTAGACATTTTATTAAAACTGTAAAATACATACACAGCATATTTCTGTTCTTCTTCAAATCCCCACCTGCTTCTCAACTCATTGATGACCAGTAGTCAGAAGGCTTCCAGCCAAAAAGGTGTCCCGAGACCCAGGACCATAAGTGCCTTCTCAGGAAAAATGGAAGAAAGATTGCATCAGCAAAGGCAGCAGCAACTGTAGCCACCAAATTGAAATAAGACAGCTGGTCCCATTTTCTGCCTTTCGGGATCGAGTGAGGAGCTGCTGTGGGCACATTTCCTTTATCAACATGGGTCCTACTGCAGGGATTTTGGACATCAGCCTGCAACCAGGCTCCGCTATACAGCCTTTGACCTCCACAGAGGTGTTGATGCCACCTACAGAGCAAAGAGGGAGACGCACAGATGTTTTAGGAAATCAGTGGGGAATCCAATTCTCCCTCATCCCTGAAACTCTGAGGGTCAGAACCACTTGGGATTTACTCAAAATGTTTGGTTTTCCAGTCTCTGAAACCATCAGATGTTCATTTCAGTTTACCTCCCACAATCTCAAGTTTTCCTTGGTAGCATCGCTTTGTATCACTGGGACAGGGAAGAGAAGGAGCACTGGAACAGGACCCCAAAGCCACACAGGTTGGGCAATGGAGAGCTGGCACCCTGGAAGCTGGATGGGGAAGAGAGGAACAGTTAAGAGCATGTCCTGCCTCCAGAGATGTCCCTCCTTGTTGCCTCCTCTTCCTAAGTCTTTCCTGGTAATGCCATTCTACTCAAGGCCCATTAGCGCAGCCTCCCTGTCCTTCCGTAGCTGATTTTCTCTGCTTTCAAATCCCCCATCAACATGACTTCCACTGTGTTTAGGTATGGAGATACAGAGCTGAAAAGAACATAGTTACTGCCATCCAGCATCACTGTCTAGATGGAGAAAGACGTGTAAGTAATTAACTACAATACAACTTGGTAGTTACTGTGTTCAAGGTATAATGGCAGAGGAAAGGAAGAGTACCTAACCAAACAGTTTGGTATTTTCAAAGAGCTGATACCCATGCTGAGACTGAGGATGAAATAGGGGCTAGCTATGTGAACAAGGGAGTCTGAGGGAGTAGCAAAGAAAACAACAAGGACAAGGGTCAGAGGGTGTGAGCCAGACTGGTGGATCTGGGGGACTGTGAGAGGCTGCAGGGCTGACGTTCAGCAGTAGGTACAGGTCATACTGAATTTTATTTCTACCGTCATTACCAATTCTGATTGGTCAGTGCCATCTCCATTGTTAAGTACCTTTAACATTAGTCCCAACTAGAAAACAATAAATCAGAGAAGGAAATAAAGCAGAAAGGATAGGCAGGACCAGGTTTCTACAGTCCTTGAGTCCAAACTGGGGAAGTGGGCTGTTGTCACGTGGCCACAGGGAGCCAATACTTGTTAGAGTGTTAATACCACAACCCTATTCACAAACCTCCACTGACATCCTATTGCCTAGTAAACACAAAACCCAGTTTACTCTCCAGCCTTTACTGACATCCCTCTGCTCCCAGCAGCAGTGCTTAGATCCCAAAGAACAATTCAGGAAAAGGAGAACAATCACTTCAACAGCGAGGTCCTTTTGCATAAACCAAGAAAGACCACAAAGAAGGAAGAAATACAATGTCTTAATGGAGTTTCTCTCAGCACTTAACTGCCTCCTTCCAGAGTACCTGGGGTCTCCTGTTGCCTTATAAAGTCATTTATGTTGTTCCTGTCGTTACATAGGAACTCTTCACAGTAGTTATTGTAGGAGATTGCCATCAGGCCAGGGGGTGGAGTGTGCTGGACAAACGTGACTGCAGCCATCTGCTCGGTGATGCAGCCTTTCGTGGCAAAAATGGCCACCTCAGCTCCTATTATGAGAAGGAGGGAAAGTGGATGCTGGGCCTAGTGGTTGGCCTGGGAAAAGAGGAACAATATTGACACGGAGGTACTTGCCTTCCCTCCCACCCAACCCAACCCAACCCAACCCAACCAACCTAACCCAACCCAACCGCCCCATCCTCATTTGACCTGCTTGAATAATTAGTATGGTTTCCTGGCAAAATTCTCCATTGTCACAAGTCTCAACTTCCTCTGCGGTCCAATTAAACTTATTGGTTGGATCCGCTTCTATATTCACGGAGACACCCTTGTAACAATGCACATCTTCGGTCACTGGGGAGAAAATGGGATAAAGAGAAGCACTTGCCCTTCTCCGCGAGCCTCGGTGACTCCTTGGTCATCATAGATCCACCCTCTGCGGCCCAGGGGCTCTTCCCTCACCTCCCCCCCCCCCCCCACGTACAACTGTGGCTGGAGGCTCCTAGGAGGAAGAAGAACAGCAGACTCAGGACAAGACGCGTTGCCATGGCTTCTTCTAGAGAGGCTGGGGCTGGGCAGAGTTGATCGGGACCTGTGATTTGATGGAGAAAAAGGCCACTTTTCAGCCAGATCGAGGGAGGTGACACCCAGGCGTGGGCAAGTGTGACTTTTAGGGCAGGGTTTAGTCTGCGGGACCGTGACCTGTGAGGTTCGTCTGTCCCAACTAGTGAGGAGCCCATGCAAATTCATAGGCTTATGGCGCCTCGCTTTCCAGAGCGGCGATTCTCAGGCCTGGCCACCGATTTCCTAGGACCATGGAAGCCAGGACGGCGGTACCCTCCGACTTCAGGATCTGGTGTCTGGGCCCAAAGCCCCCACCTCCCTCAGACCCAGGCCACGTTCAAACTCAGACTCTCTCAAGGCTGCGGGAAATCCGCTCCGCCCTCAGCCCCCAGCTCCGTCAGAACTCGGATTCCAGAGCTCGGCCATGCCCTACTTAGAGAACCGGGGGTTTGCGTTCCATACAATTTTTCCACCTTTACTCTCTTCTGGGCCCCCAGCTCCTACTTCCTCAGATCCAGGGGTTCAGGCCCCATTTCCTCCCCCCGTCTCCCCACAGACCCAGGAGTCCGAGCCCTTGGCCTTCTCTTTCCTAAGGATTCAAAAATCTGGATCCCTAGCCTCCTTTTTGTCTTTAGGGGCGTAAAATCCCTGATGGCTTCCAGATGTCCTCACCAGAACCTCTTCGCACTGAAAGAACCTTCTGGAACGCCTCCTCGCACCGCCTCGTCTTCTCTTACGTCCCTCAGAGAGACACGGCACTCGAAGCCCCATTGGTCCGTGGCAAAAGCATCGGATGAGTTCATTGGATGACCCTGGAGGAAGACCACACCTCATTGGCCCAAGAGAAGCCAATCACTGGGAGCCTCGGAAGGTGCGCCTGCGCAGAAGGAGATTGGTGGGCATATGGTTGGAAAACCTTGCTCGGTTTTGCAGCCCTTGCATGCAAGGCAGAATGGACTGTGTTGCTAAATGATCTCGCTTCACACTTTTCTCTCTTTCTATGTTGCCTCCAGCCACAACGGGAGGTCAAGCCCTTGGCCCTCAGCTACTGAACTTGCACTCATCATAGTGGCCCTAGCCACTGCGGTCAGCTTGGCCTCCTTGTTCGTCACACACAGTGGCCTCTGCGCAGCCCAGGTGTCCTCTTCTGATCACATCATCGCACCAGGCTCCTCATGGTCTCCTGGAGGACTGAACAGAGGAATGACCGCATCAGTGTCCCCTGGGGCGCTGCTGAATGTATAAGTAAGATCGGTGATGGCACGGGCTGCCATAGCATCTGACCTGCGTGTCCATGATAATCCAATGAGCAAGACATGTCATTCATTCAGATTTGTTGTTCATGGCTGAACATTCTATTTCGCGTCTATGTAAGCTTTCCGGATGTGACCTGAAGTGAGGATCTGCCTTGTGAACTTTTAGAATTGGTACTGTTTCTGTACGTTGCAGTATAAGTGAATATTTTGTTTACTTGTTTTTTTGATTTATTGTAGAGATAAGGTCTCACCAAGTTGCCATGATAAATAAATGAGTCAATGGAATAAATAAATGAGCCAAGGGAAACCAAATCATCATCATCATCATCATCATCTTTGACAAAAGAGTAGCAATTAGATTATACTGTAGTCTTAAATATTATGTAATTATTTGATGGCCTAAGATTCTATTTGTTTTGTTTTGTGAGTTGGAGTCTCACTCTGTTGCTCAGGCTGGAGTGTACTAGTGTGCTCAGGGCCACTGCAGCCTCAACCTGCTGGGCTCAGGCGACCCTTCCTCCTCAGTCTTCCAAGTACCTGGAACTACAAGCATGCACCACCATGCTCAGCTATTTTTTTATTTTTATTTTTTATTGTAGAGAGGAGGTCTCACCAAGTTGACCACCAGGCTGGTCTCGAACCTGTGGGCTCAGGCAATCCTCTTGTCTCGGCCTCCCAATGTGCTGGGATTACAGGCTTGAGCCATTGTGCTTGGCCTTTTTTTTTTGAGTTGGATTTTCACTCTGTCACCCAGGCTGAAGTGCAGTGGCATGCTCAGGGCAATCACAGCCTCAACATCCTGGGCTCAGGTGATCCTTCCACTTTGCCTTCCAAGTCACTGGAACTACAGGCATGTGCCATCACGCCCAGCTAATTTTTTGATTTATTGTAGAGAAGAGGTCTCACCAAGTTGCCCAGGTTGGTCTGGAACCTGTGGGCCCACACCATCCTCTCACTTGTCTCCCAAAGTGCTGGGATTATCAGCATGAGCCACTGCACCCAGCCATGGCCTAAGATTTTAAATACTGAAAATAGGCATGTGATTCATGGAAGACACGAGAAATAATTAGGTGTGAGATGCCTTTAGGTCCTGGGACTACATGACAAGATGGATTGGAGTCATCAGGAGGCAAGAAAGATAAAGCACCTCATAAGTGGGCTGTGATAATTCTGACTTCGTCCTGGCAGCCAGACCAGAGGCAGTGCACTCAGGGAAGGAATTCCCTCTATTATGATAGTAGTAATCTTGGATTACTGTGTCAACACTGACTGGCTGGCATATTCCAGAAGCTTTGGCAATTCTTAGAATCACTGAAGGGACTGTCTTGATTGTTGCCATTTAATAGGGAACAAACTGATAGGGCAGACAGTCTTAAGTGCTTTCTGTGGTTTTGATCATGCCTCCAGGAGCAAAATTAGGGGAAAGATAGCAAGAAATTCACCGCAAATACTGGGTCCCTGATGCCTGGCCCCCAGTGGTCTCATCTCTCAGGAATCTATGGGTCCTTGTCCTCAGCCCGCTCCTAACCTTAGACTCAGGAATCCAGGCCCCCATTCTCCTCCTCCCCTAGAACCCAGGGTCCCGGGGACCCAGGAGTCCAAGTCACTATCCCCCTCTCAACTCTCAACATGCAGATATAGCATAACATAAGGATCTCCTGTGTGTACTTTCAGAATTGGTACTGTTTCTTAGAGTTAAATTAAAAAATATTTTTAATAAAGAAAATACCAAAACATTAGAATGGAATTAGTAAAAGCTCTTAATTTTATGTAAAAATATGCTAAGAATTTTCAAGTGATAAAAAAAATTAGAGTTAATACACATATTAAGAGATAGTCCTAGCCGGGCTTGGTGGCTCAGCCTGTAATCCTGCACCTTTGGGAGGCTGAGGTGAGTGGATTGCCTGAGCCCGCGGGTTCGAGACCTGCCTGGGCAGCGAGACCTCATCTCTGCAATAAATCAAAAAAAAAAAAATCAGCCAGGCGTGGTAGCGCATGCCTGTAATTCCGGCTACTCGGAAGGCTGAGGTGGAAGGATCGCTGGAGCCCAGCAGGAGAGGCTGCGGTGGCCGGGAGCGGCCACTGCACTCCAGTCTGGGCGACTGAGTGAGACTTCAACTCAAAACAAAAACAAAAACCAGATAGTCCTGGCCCTAAGGGACTTAGGAGTCTGTGCCACCCTCCCTTCTTTTCAGAACTCAGGCCTCTAGCACTCATCTCCCTGTATTTGAAAGTACCCACTGTTGGGACCGGGCATGGTGGCTTACACCTATAATCCCAGCACCTTGGGAGGCTGAGGTGAGAAGATTGCCTGAGCTCACGGGTTTGAGACCAGCCTGGGCAACTTGGTGTAACCTCATCTTTACACTAAATCAAAAAATTAGCCGGGCATGGTGGCGTGTGCCTGTAGTTCCAGCTACTTGGAAGGTGGAGGCAGAAGGATTGCCTGAGCCCAGCAGGTGGAAGCTGCAGTGGCCATGAGTGTGCCACTGCACTCCAATCTGGGTGTCAGAGTGAGACTCCAGCTCAAAAAAAATAAAAAAGAAAGCACCCACTGTAAGGGCACATGGTTTTCCTGGGGTACTGTGTAACTGCAGGGGCAGGGCAGGGTTCCAGATCTCAGCCACAATTGCCAGACCGAGACCCATGGAGCAGGAGGGACCAGAAGGCAGAGAGGGTAGTTGGGAGCTTCATGGTTACCTGCTTAAGTTCCAGTCTTTTGTCTGGCCCCATCCCATCCCATGTCTCTGGCTCTTCCACTTGCCTTGTCTCTTCATGTCCCAGTCCCATGGCTGGCTTCCAGCACCTGTAGAGAAGGTCATTTCAAATGGACTCTTGACCTGTGTGTCAGTTTGCTAGGGTTGCTGTAACAAAGATTGGGTGGCTTCAACAACAGAGATGCATTGTCTTATAGTTCTGGAGGCTAGAAGTCCAAAGTCAAGGTGTTGGCAGGGTTGGTTCACTCTGAGGGCTGTGAGGGAGAATCTTTTTTAGGCCTTTCTCCTGGACTTGTAGGTGGTGATTTTCTCTCTGTCTCTTCACATCATTTTCTCTCTGTGTGTGTGTCTGTGTCCAAATTTCTCCCTTGTATAAGGACACAGTCCTATTGGATTAGAGCCCACTCTAGTGACCTCATTTTTAACTTGATTATTTCTGTAATGACCCTATATCCAAATCAGGTCACTTTCTGTGGTATAGGGGGTTAGGACTTCCACATAGTTTAATATGATTTTATTTTTTAAAATAGAGACAGGGTCTCACTACATTGCCCAGGCTGGTCTTGAACTTCGGGGCTGAAGTGATCCTCCTGCCTTGGCCTCTCAAAGTGCTGGGACTTGAGCCACTATGCCCAGGTGGACTTCAACATATTAATTTTTTTTTTTGAGTTGGAATCTCACTCGGTCGCCCAGACTGGAGTGCAGTGGCTGCTCCCGGCCACTGCAGCCTCGACCTGCTGGGCTCCAGCGATCCTTCCACCTCAGCCTTCCAAGTAGCTGGAACTACAGGCGCGCGCTACCACGCCCGACTAATTTTTTGATTTATTGTAGAGATGAGGTCTTGTCAAGTTGCCCAGGCGGGTCTCGAACCCGCGGGCTCAGGCAATCCACTCACCTCAGCCTCCCAAGTCGCAGGATTACAGGCTGAGCCACCAAGCCCGGCTAACATTAATTTTAGGGGGATATAACTCAACTCAGAACAGTCTATCAGAGATGTGTGTTGCAGATGTAGTGAGTGCTGCATAGTGTTCCAGGGGAACCCCATTTTATAGTGTCTTCTTTCTTGGAGTCATTCCTGTTGCAGCCTTTGCTGCTCATGGAGGCTGAGTTGATGGGTGGTGAGGGAGGGAATGAAGACACAAGACTGAGGGGGTAGCCTGGGAGTGAATCAGGAACCTGATGCAGCGCTCTGCAATTCCAACAGGCCAGAAGAAAGTGAGCTGAATGTAGGGATCCATATTAACACACAGCATATATGGTGCATCCCAGTGGGTGAGAATGTGAGGGATCACCCTCTCCCACCCTTGTCTGCTTATCTGGTTCTATTATGACAGGAGTAATGGGGAAGACCTCCCCAGCACACAGGTCTGATTCGTAGGGAGTGACTGTGGGATTTCTCCTGCCTTCAGGTTTGCCCCATCTTTGTTATATTTGAACAATAACCTATCAAAGGGTGCAGGAAGAAAATGCACCAGTTCTCAGGCCGTGTCTGTCTCTGCAGGTCCCATGCTTGGGAAAGCGATCACATTCTTTTTTTTATTTTTATTTTTTTTTGAGTTGGAGTCTCACTCTGTCACCCAGGCTGGAGTGCAGTGGCATGGCCACTGCAGCCTCGACCTGCTGGACTCAGGTGATCCTTCTGCCTCAGCCTTCCAAGTAGCTGGAACTACAGGCATGCTAATATTTTGATTTACTATAGAGATTAGGTCTTACCAAGTTGCCCAGGCTGGTCTTGAACCTGTGGACTCAGGCAATCCTCTCATCTTGTCCTCCCAAAGTGCTGGGATTATAGGTGTGAGCCACCATACCCGGCCTCTGCTTCTTTCTGAGCTTTAGTGTGTTCATCTGGAAAACAAGAAATTTCATCTAGAGTAATGGTTGGCAAATAATTTGTGAAAATCTTTGAACATCAGTTAAAAAAAATTCAGTGGCTATCATATAGTGAGGGCATCTTTCTATATAAGCACCAATGTTGTTCATCTGGATGATTGCATACGCCCTGCCTTTGCCCTATGTACCCATCTCTTCCCCACCTGGTGCCACAGTGTCGCTTAACTATAAGCCCATTGCGTCACTCCTCTGTTTTAAACCTTCCAGGGAATTCTCATTTTGTCCCAAGTAGGATTCTAAGTCCCTAAAATGGCCTATCAGGCCCTTCACATCAGGCCTCCCCCGCCTTTCCATCCACACGTCCTTTCCTGCTCTCTTTTGTTCACTCTGCTCCAGCCACAGTGGCTTTGGACTGTTTCTTGAACACGTGGCAGGAACATGCCCCCCTCAGGGCCTTTGCATATGCTTTCCCCACTCTGAATCATCCCTTCCTTATGCCATTCCTGCAAGGTTCCTTCCTCGTGTCTCTGCTCTGAGGTTACTCTCCTTTGCTGACAGTCTCTCTACAAGAACAGCATACATATCCTTCTCCGACCCCTTACACTGCCTGAGTTTCTTCTTATACTTATCATTGACTGATATGTTATTTGTGTCTATATTTGTATGTTTAACAGCGACCTTCCCCAACCTTCCCTGCTCTTTGAGGGCAGGGGTTTTGTTTTGTTTGATGTGTTCACCATCATCTACGGCATAGTCTTGCCATCGAAGGGGCTCATTAAATCAATACTTATGGATTATAGGTGGGGAACAAGGCTCAAAGAGGAGGTGGTGCTCAAAAGCCAGACCAGACCCCACTTCTCCTTGATTCAAACACTACGTTCTTCACTGCTCTGCTCCCCCAACTGTGCTGGCTTGCTTCTCCCACTGGGACCACATCCAGTTCTTCAGGGGAGCAGTCAGGGTCGTACCAGTTCAAGCCCTTGATTTTTTTTTCACTATGGACTCCTGCCTGGCCCACTCTGGGCAACCCATGCTCTTGTGGCCCTCTTCCACCCCCGTGCCTTTGTGTAAGCTGTTTGATGACCCTGAAATGCCTTTCTCTCCTGCACTTATTCTCTGATGTCTTGTTGTACCCCTAGCTTCTGATGGCTGGTCTTGATGTGCAGTAAATATTTGCTAACCTGCTGAAGTCCAAATTCCTTTGTCTATGCCTTTGTTTTAGAAAGTTTTACTTCATAGTATAACGGCTGTGTGTGCCTCTGTGACGGTGAGTGCGTGCGTGTTTGTGGGTGCACGTCTTTATATATGTATGTCTGTGTGTGCATGCGTGTGTCTGATGTGTCTCTGTGTGCATGTCTGTGTGTGTGTGTATGTGTGTGTGTCTGCCTCTGTGTCTGATTTCTTCCAGCTGTGTCTCACAAGAGCTATGGCATGTCTCAGGCCCTCTGCCAAACAACCTCAGCAGTTTTCCATGCTTCCTGTAATCCTGTGGGAAGTTTACAACCTCTCACTAAGGACCTGGAGACTAGCTCCTATACCCTCATGTCATCACTTCCCCTCTACTATCTATTCTCAAGACAGTTCCAGTCTTTTCCAGCCTCTTTGGCTTTGCACACACTGTTCCTTCTGCATGGGAGAGCCCTCCCTGCCCCCATGCATTTGTTTACCCTACAAACTCCTAATTATCCTTCAAAGCCCAGCCTTATCCAATGCCCACAGCTCTCAGTGAAGCTGACACAGGCATCGTGCAACTCCTTCCTGAGAACTCCCAGCGTTCTCCCACCTCCGGGCCTTTGCACATGCTGTTCCCTCTCACACCAATGTGCTTTTCCTTCCTCTTTGTAAAGAATTGAGATCTGCAAACCTTATGTAACAATGAGAGGCAAGCCTTGGGCTTAAACCACCTGTTTTACTCTTTTTTTTTGTTTGTTTGTTTCAATTGTCACTTTATTGCAAGATGGTGGAATTAATTATAAATTTACACGATAACTTGGCAATCTTTAGTCAGGTAGCAAGTTTTAATAAAAGCAAACTGCTTATTTGAAAGTGATCATGAAACAACTCAAAATGTAGAGTAAGATGGATGAGAAACACCCGACTGGGCCAATAGATTTAGTTCGCTCATTATGGAAAACTCCAACTTTTCATTTTTAGGAAAGGTAAACTGTAACTGCAGTAGACAGCACTGCAGAATATTCTGTCACATAGACTAGTTTCCATTTAGTCGGTCAACTGTTTCTAGCTGTCTCAATGGGACAGACACATTTACAGAACTGGCTGCACTTGAGCCTTCTTTGCAAGCAGCTTAGGTCTGCAATGCACTTGGCAATTGTCTCCTTTTCCTGCTGGGCAGAGATGCTCTGCACCACATGCTTCTCTACGCAGTTTACCATGTGCTCTTGCTCCTTTCGACGCATCATATCCTGCACAGAGATGTGATCGTCCAGGCGATTCTCCACCTCTTTATATACGCGATGCAACCGTTCCTGGTAAGTAACTTCCAAAGCCATAGCAATGTTATTCCTCTGGACATCGAAAAGGTAATGGCGCTTCTGAACTAGTGCCTGCTGTGCCTTTTCCAAATCAGTCACATCCTGGATTTGTTTGATGGAAGCCTGCTTCACCTCTTCCAGTTGGGCAATTTTTGGCTCATTGAGTTTATCAGCAAATTCTCCAATAGAGGCACCATATTTTTTAATTACATAGACAAGCAACCCTACTATTGATATGGTAGAGAAGGTTTCTGGGGTAATCACATATATTTCTTTGGATAGAGCATACAAAATAAGCCCTGTTCCAAGCACATAGGGTCCTGTTATACCAGTTTTAGGATAAAGAAACTGGAAGAATTCCTCAGGAATCAGCCTGAGATGAACTTTTCCTCCATATTCAGGAAGAGGTGGCAGTGGGGCAAGACTGGGCTGCCCTGTGTGAAAGATCCTTGTGGCCTGCAAGACCCCTGGACCCAGGAGGGCAGCGTTCTTCAGCGAGGGCGCCGCTGTGGTGGCAGCAAGTGCCACCCAGGACAGCATGGTCACCAAAGGTCTAGACAGCGGTCTCAGCGTCCCTGTGACCCCAACCGGAGAATCGGTCAGGGGCCCTGTTTTACTCTTAAACCCCAAAGCACTTTTCCTAGGCTTCCTGCCTGTCTTTTTGAATATTGCTAATGACTAATCAGAGAGGAAACCCCTGCCTTGCCTGCACTCACAGTTCTGTTTCTCCTTCCCTTTTCTCACCACCAAA